TTTTTTGCTGCTTTGTTTGGTATATATAGTGATTATTAAAACTCAAAACAGAAGGCCAAACAATATGCAGAAAACCTCAACGCAAAGTTACAAAACTCAAATTAAAATTCTACCTTTTCCTGGGTTAGCTTAATTTGGCTGTGAATAACCCGGCTCAGGAGCTACGCTTTTAGGCTGGCCTAAATCTATATATTAAAATTTTGCAAGCCACCGGAATAGTCCCTGTGATTAGTCTCGTAAAGAGTTTACACGAGGGAACATGTGGCAGGGACTGGTCCCTTGTAGTGTGTACATGAGGACGCTGATTGCAAAGGAACACCTAGCTCAAAATCTTGGGAGAAAGGTATTGTTTTTCACTCTTTTGCTCTCCAAGAGCAAACCTGAGATATATATACCAGGGCAATAAAAAAAAATGTAAAATTAACCACCGTAGATACTTAATGAAGCTGACATTTCGAGCGTTAAACCATCATCAGAGCAAAGCGGACTTTGAAAAACTATTAAAATAAATACTGATCTGCGGTTGGATCATTTTCATTTTGTGTCAGAGACTTGTCTCCTGAACAGTTCACATGAAGGGTTTTGAAGAGACAAGTCTCTGGGACTCTTCATCTTGTCTCTTGCCTTTGATTTTCGTTCGTAAACGTTGTCCTCTTGAACATCTCTGGCCATTCCAAAGTCTGTCACTTTACATGTTTCTTTTTCACCAACCAACACGTTACGAGCTGCCAGGTCTCGGTGGATAATCTGAAACAGAAGGGTACTGGTTATATTTCGATACGTGGGAGACAAAACAAATAAATCAAATATCGCGAGTCACTAGCATTCAAACATTTTGACGTGAATTAAAATCCATGTACGTGTTTATTTAATCGACAAGTTATATTCCGATAAAAAAAAAAGAAAACGTTATAAGGTTTTGAGCGAACTGCCTTCGTTAATCTTCTAACATCAAATGATGTAAAAAAAAGAGAAAGAAATCGATCTCATCCGCACGAACTACTGATCAGTGACAGTACAAAATTGGATACAAAATGGAACTTTTTTCACCCAAAAAACATTCCCGCTATGGGAAGACGGTAACTTCAGTGTAACTTCAGTTCAACTCCCATTAAACGGCCACCCTCGGGGAAATGGCCGCTTAGAGGGGGCTGGCTGTTTAATAGAGGTAAAAGCAATAGAAAAACCCTCAGCGGGACTATGATTACTGGCCGCCTAATAGAGGCGGCCGTTCAATAGGTGGTCGCTTAATGGGGGCTCGACTGTACAGGTCATGTGAAGAAAAACTGGCTATCGTCCTTACAGTTCTTTTTGGGCAAATATTCACACTTTAGTCAATACCTTTTACGAAAAATTCACAAGCCGATTTAAGTTTCCTTACATAACAACGCTACAACGTCGCAGGATGACATAGTGGAAACCGTTAGAGTGAGACGCTTCCAGCAATAACGTGCAAATCCGCAATAGACCAATAAGGGCGCAAAACATAAAGGTCAAATAAATGAATACATTACATACTCGTTTGGATGACAAATAAGACATTCCATCAGCGATTTGCCAAGCAAACTTCATCAGCCGTCGTGACGTCAGACTTGTTTTTGGTTTGATATCCGGGTCTTTGTAATAAGTGTCATTCAGTCCACGGCTCTTTCGCAGGTATCCCAGCAGGTCTCCAAATGGAACATATTCTATAAGCACCAACAACGGCTCTGAGAAGAAAGCGAGAGAGAAGAAAAGAGACATTGGTGATGTTAAACAATAATAGGGATTGTGTCTGGACAAAGATATATATATATATATATAGCCAAAACAGTGGTCAAATTGATTTTCACTGGCGCAATGAAACTGTAATGAAGAATTATTCTATTTTGAAGTGATTGTAAGTGCAATGCATTCATAAATTCATTAGTTGACTCAACAACAAGAAAGGTAAGGGTATTGAATAGAGTCAAGAGAGATTTCAAAACACTGAGCAGCGTTTCTTTAAGGGTTTTATCCCAAAGTTTACCAGATTCAGTGACGCATCCTAGGAGCTTGATGACATGAGGATGAGACTTGAGCTGTTTCATAATTTCAAGTTCTGATAACAAGTCTCTCTTGTCTGTCTCGGGCGCATTCTCTGCAACATAATCCCAAATGAGATTCTTAAAACTCAATAATTATAATTTATACATTGATGAGGAGCAGCTACTAACTTGAATATGACCAAATTTTCTGGGGAAAGAAACCCCTTTGCATCAACAACAATCCAGAACAACTTTTTTACTTTAATCGATTTGGAAAACAAAGCTCAAAGTAATTGACATCAATACGAAATCAATAACATCATGATATCACACCAGCCATGTTGCTGTGACGGAATACTAGCACCAAATCATTAGCATAATGCGTATTTTAAAGTCTGTCTAGACTCTAAGCTAGAAATGCACGATTAGGAAAGTCCGTAACATATTCTGCACTCTTTTATCAATATTTTAAAAGCATTTCACACCTTTTAACTTTTTAATAGCCACTTGTGTCTTCCCGGGCCGTCCTCGAAGATCTATTGCTGTTCCCTTGGCAACCTGACCAAACGCACCTTTACCAATTATATTCTCTAGAGTCACGTGTTGTCTAGGAACCTCCCAGGAGCGAGTCGATGGATTAAGAGATGCGTAATGGGTGCTTTGTGTAGTGTTTGATGAAACATTATTCCCCGAATCTTCTGATACGTTTTGTATTTGAGAAGCCTGATTTTGTGACCTGTTTTGGCTTTGAAGGGAAACTCCAGAACTTTGAATCCTGGCGGGATCTTCGTCCGGTCGAATGTCATCCATTTCAACTTGAGTCTAATGCGCGAGAAAGTATTAAAACAGCTGTCGTTTAAAATTACTTTTCTTAAAAACGAGATGTACGTTGAGCTGAGTCAACAGCAAAAAATCCAATTCAGACCAGAGGACCCTTCCAACTTTGAACGCTCAAAACTTTAAAAGCACTAAAGTAATGGACTTAGATGGACTTGCCAACTTAGAAAAAATGTATCACATTTTATTGGTCAAGGACCTTGATGTTTCCATGGCAATAGTATTCTCCTTTAAAAACTCGCCTAGTCTTAGCCATTTCAAGAAGTTAATTAGGGAAAACAAAAACTTTCTAGGAGCCATAAGTTTTGCGAAAGCCTCCTGTAGCATTTCTTTTAGCTCAATAGACTTTTCATATTTTTAGATATTCACGTATTACAACTGTAGAGGCTAATTTTCTTGTTTGATTTATGTAAGAAATTCTCATATTATATCAGTAAGTAATTAATTTATTTTACATGTAGTTAGTGCAGGTCCAAATCAGTACTTAAGCCTTGCCGATTTTGTAACCTGCTTAAATAGACTATGTATGTATGTATCTGTATTATCCTATTTTGAATTTTTCTGTCATACTTAAATTTATTAACTAAACCTTCCTGATATTCTAAGCCATCTTTGTCGGTTTTTTTAATTTAATTGTAACAATAAACTGCACGCACAATGACCCAAAGATGGCGTCTGTTCAGATATATAATTGCGTCATTTTAAACACGGAGCGATCCTACTTTACGAGGCTGAGGTGTTCCGCCTGCCAATCACAAATCCCAACGGACGACCAATGCTCCCATTTGATTGGCTTATTCACTCAGGTCTAATTTTAGCGCGTTGCCACAAAATTCTGGAGAGCGACGGGTGTAATTTTTTTGTTTTATTTTACAAGTAAGCAATGCCTTTTGAACTAAATGAACGATGGCTTAAAGAGAAGAGTTTACAAAGAAAATTGACTTTTTTAATTTCAACTTCATAGTTTTGTTCCTCCATTTGCGAAAGCCTATCTTATGAATTCGCGTTGTTCACTCAAATTTATAAAATGCCGTGTCTAGTTCTTTTGATGCCAGAGTGTCTTTGCCCCTTCGAGGATTAACGCGGTTGAGAAATGAGTTTGGAAACCAAAACTCGTAAAAAAGGCACTTAGGTACAAGCAGAATACGAAGGGTATATATTGTATCTACGGTAATATGGCTATTCTTCAGCTAGTTATCTAAAAAAAAGTTCCAAAAGGTGAACATTGGCTGCTGTTGTACTCTTGCGGCTAAAATTCAGCCGACCTTTTACGAACGCAACTTTTGTTTTTATTGCATTCAGCCATGAGCCTTCCTTTTCCTTTCTAACGTCAATATTCAGGCGAAATCTCACTTCGCCATTTTTCAAGTTTTCTTGTTTCTTCGTAGTATTTTCTGTTTCCAATTTCTTTGCTCTACAGTTTGAGGAATAACTCAGCGTTGTTCAATTTGCATTTTGTTTGCACCATCATAACTCTCATAAATCTGAATAATTTTAAACATCCCACCAAAATCCGTCTGTGTTCACAGGCTAACCAAAATCACCTCTTACGAGATTTGTTTCGTTCTCGGCATGCTGAGATAAATGGATACAGATAGCTTGTTGACCGCAGGCATCAGCTTTGTTATTTTAGTTAGCGCCGAAATTTGAATGTTCCGTGAAGTGACGAAGATAATTCATCGTTTTTGTTCTTCCAAAGGCATCTCAAGTGTTAATATAAGTTTTATTTTCGCTTTATTTTTATTATTTACCTTCTATTATTCTACGTAAATGACTCCGTTGTTTTAACGAGAAAAACACTATTCCTCCACGACTTCTATGTTATGCGACCGTTATTTCGGCTTTCCACCATTGCACAAAAAAGCCAACAAAGTGCTTCAAAGGTGGCGTGCCCTTGCCTTTTATAGGATCGCTCCGTGTCTACGTCATATGACGTCATCTCTGTATGGTTTGGACCTGCTATAAAAACTTGCAAGTTCCACTGCGATAGTTTTAATACTAGTGAGTGGCAGGTTGATGGCCTCAACATCTCCCTTTCCCACCCCCTCCCGCCCGCCTTATCAAAGGGTTAACTACATTCAAGTAAAAGACGGCTCATGTAATACTTTATATTGGCTGTTTGTATTTTTTGTTATATAGGGACCTACATGGATTTTGCCTCTTTCCTCATTAGATGCCGCTCCATCTACCCTAAAAAATAACCAACAAATTAGTTTTCTTATAAAGAAAATCGACATTCAAATACACATCTAGGGTAGTTCAGTTTGTAGTGTATGGCCCCTCAAAATACATTCTTATGAATTCGTCCCAGATCTCATCCTAAGGTCTTTAAGTGACAATTGAATTCATGTCATGGGTTAGCATGAGCGTGAAATGAAAGGCTTCATTACTCCAAGAGTGCAAACTGCTTTCAAACGGGCTTGAAGCTTTGTGCCTCTCCCTGTTAATGAGCTCCAAGTCTATCGCAGGGTTCTCTCCCAACATTTTATTCGTCAATACCCATTATTATCAATATACGCGGCCAAATTGAAAACCGCCCTCTTGAAAACACGCGCTTTGCGGGCCGCA